CACTTAAAGGGCGGCAGTCGTCGCGCCGCGCCCTGTTCGATATGGGACTCATAGCGACGTATACAACGTGTGTAAAATACATTGTTTATTTACATGAAATTCAAACACGCGCTGCGCGACGACCACCGCGCTTTAAACCTCTCACTGACCCTTGACCCATGTAAGCATCATGGGGGTTTTGGATTCAGAATAGTTCTTAAGAAATCATAACAATCAAAATCTTGAAAATGATTTTTTAAAATAAAATAAAGTAGTCATGTGTTATTGTATCAATAAAAATTATGTTTGATTAGGTGATTAGACACCATAACTTCAGTGTACACCAGATTTAGTGTTCTTATATATTCAAGAATTTGTTGCCATAGTAACTGATTTAATCATTTTTTTAATAGAGATCGCAGTAATTAGTTGGTGCAAAATTTTATAATTTTTCTATAATTTTTTTTTTTCTTAATTTTGAATTAAATGAATATCTTGACCAAAATTTTTAAAATACAATTATGCAAATTTATTTTATCATTCAAAGAGCTAAACAGCAAGTACTTTAAACCGTTTCATTTTAACTGCTATCACGATTTTAGGATTTTATGGCATTTGTGCAGACAAAAACTTTACGAAAGTCACTGACACACTTTTTACTGACTCACGAAATGTTGTCTCACACAAAATTGAAGCAGTATACAGTATCTTTTTGATATTTAGAATACTTTAAAATCATATTCTTCTTCTTGGAATATTTCATTGTCCGGTAAATCATGCTCGTCTAATTTCTTCCACCATGGTTGCTGTAATCTTTTAACAGTTGCATTGTGATTCTCTTTGGCTTTCGTTGCTATCGGCAATGATCTACTCATATACATGAAAAGGTCTCTTTCGGTGGCATCCTTCACTTTGGGTGAATCTGAAATAACAATCGAATAACAATATTTTCATCCATTTAAATCTAATTTGCATTGATTTAAGTTATGCCATTATCACCTCATGAATATGCACGAGGTAGTTGTTTGATTTATATTACCTCATGAATATGCACGAGGTAGTTGTTTGATTTATATTACCTCATGAATATGCACGAGGTAGTTGTTTGATTTATATTACCTCATGAATATGCATGAGGTTATTTGATTCATATCACCTCATGAATATGCAGGAGGTGGTTTTTTATTTGAATGAACGACTCAATAATCAAAATCAAGTATAACGACTTGAAAACTCTTGTAGTCTTTAAATATTTTTTAATTTAGGTAATAAACTTTCCTGAGATTCATAACAAATCACTGAAACACCACAACAAAATAACTGCAGTTGGTGTTGAATGCCTATTTATCATTTTCTCATCTTGTTCACATTTACTTGGTTTAACCTTTTCACCACCAGACTTTCTCATCCAAATTTATTTTCACTTTTTTCTTATAATTTTCAATATTTCTCGAAATGAACCCTAATTTTGGAGCCAACAGACAAAATATGAGTCAATTTTCGGTTTTTACTCAAAAAATTGGCTATTTTTGTCCCAATCCTCAAAAAGAAGGTGCAGGCTATAAACGGGACGGGACTATTTCGCGAATTTGTGATGAAAAGAGATAACTGGTGGTGAAAAGGTTAACACTGTACAGCTTCTATTATGGTAGCGTCTGTTTTATTTTTAATAAGATCTTGTGGTCAATGCTATAAAAGAATTTTTATGGATCAACATTACTGAATTGTTATTTATTCTTGTTTTCTATGAAATGTGACATATCTACTTACTACAAGTGAACTAGGGTCCCCTAACTCAGTCTAAATTTTTGCATTTTAAAATTGTTTCTACAGTGAGGTACATACACCACTATGAAGAAATTACTGAAATCGTTTCACCATGGAAACAAGCTATATTATTTTATGTTCTTGATATCACCAACAAAATTGAAGTAATTTTATTTTATTTTATTTTAGTTATGAGCTGACTGGCTACCCTGAGAACGTGGCTGCACATCCACAGATTGTCGAGTTGTTGAGCAGGTGCTTATTTGCATACTAGATGAATGGGAAAGCAAGGTACTAGTATAAATCATTTTCAGTGAAAAATGAAAGGTAAAAATTATTGAAACACTGGTTTATTTCATGAACAATTTTACTTCAAACAAAAATTAATACTTTTCGTTGGAAAAAGTTAAAACAAATCTGTGTATCTTTTAGTGCTCAATACAACTCTAGACATAACTAACTTTTGTTGTTTTTGTTTCAAATGTTTTTTTACTACACATATTATTATGCATTTATACAATTTCAAAAAAGTGTCTCTTGCCTTAGATATATTGAGCAAATATTTTTATTCATAATGGGATTTTTTTATTTTTTAGTTGAATCCTGTCAATTCTTGAAATAAATGAGAAATAAAAATAATATAAAACAAAACATGGCACTATAGTATTTGTGTCTATCTTCGGGGGCGGACATCCGGGCATTTTCACTGCATGGCAACCATCATGGTAAACACAAAGGCCGAAAACACTCAGAAAACAGTACTTTGGAATGGTTGTTGAGACTCTCCTAAACACTGTAACAAGATTACCCCTGCGTGTTTAACGCATATAAATTTGATTGTTCAGGATTACTTCAAAGTTGAGTTCCTGTTGTTTTCTTGAATTTCACTGGTTCTTCGTTTGGCATTCCACATTCCTCAGCAGCGCGCGCAGAGCCCATATAAATACGTGGTACAGTGGTGCGCATCTTAGCAACGTGGAACATCTTGTGACGTAGCTCTGCCCCCCGAGGATATGGTGAAATATGGGGTACAAAAATCACTCACTTGTAAATATATCGGCATCAGATTTCAGTTGGGCTAACAAGGCTTCCCTTCTTTGTTCCGTTTTCCGTGTGATGCGACTCAACATCAAATGTCTCGTCAGCATGGCTTGTGCTTTTTCATGTAGCTCCTTTACTTCATCCATGTTTTTACACTGGGACTGAAACAAAGAGTAGTCAGTTATCAGTTTTATATATGATGTACAAGTGGCAGGATGACTGCTATGACTGATATACTTCAACACTCTTGTTTTGGATTACGGAGTTTGTTCTATTGACAGAGGTATGTCTATGGTCAAAATAGGTCATAGTGTAATGATCCAGTATACAATATTGTATTTGCTCTATTAGTAGTAGATGCACTTATATAAATGACAGAGGTATGTCTATGGTCAAAATAGGTCATAGTGTAATGATCCAGTATACAATATTGTATTTGCTCTATTAGTAGTAGATGCACTTGTAAATGAAAAGAAGTGAAACAAAATAGTTAAAACAAGCAGCCTGTCAGCTGAGATAGCTTGACATTTAAACAAAAGTTTTCTATATTCTACCTCTAGAAGGGGTACTTACAGGATGTTCTTCTCTTCTCTCATTTATCATCTGCTGTATTTCAACTCGTCGTTCGTCTGTCAACCCTGGTGGCGCTCTCCACGCTATCACTTCATTTTTCTTGGCGTCAATCTTCGCTAGAAACTTACGAACCTGTGAAAATGAATTATTGGCAACTGTTTCAATAGCATTTCTTTCAAATATGAACATAAGGTTTCGTAATTCCACCTAACTATTTTGTAGATTTTATGGCTTCTAAAATTTCAACCGATCACTGAATGGTGCTGTTTTTAGTTCTCTAAAATGTTGTCGACCTCAGATTTGTATTCTTGGATCAATCGTTCAACTCTAATTTAGGCTTTACCGGTAATTAATAAAATTGTTGAACTGACAGTATGCAGTGTTACATCATGCAAACGATCACCTACTACCAAACACACACACACAAATTTAATTTCTGAAGTTCTCATAGCATTGCTTATTGTTCAGTCATGGTTTCATACAAAAAATATTATCTCTTTGGTTTGCTATGAAATATATGTGAACTTCAAGTCTGTTTTATCATGAAAGCATGTTTTAGAACACACGATTGATTCTGTACAAATGATCTACCATGGTGTCCTTTCACCTGATCAGAATGCCATTAACCAATCAGAATACCACATGGTACTACTGACATATTCCGAGACTTGACAAATGCAAAGAATGCATCCCGGGAGTTAATTTTATTATTATAGATGTTGAAGTATGATGACCTGTTGGTGTTGATTTCGCTGCCTTAGTGAGTGAGTACTGAGGGAATTTCATGATGATAACAAATGAAATGTATTTTACTTATTAGCACTGTACAAATGTATGTCTGGTATTCATAATCTTTGGGGGGGCATGACTATCGCAAATGAAATTTTGCTTTCCGGGAACAAATGATTCACCATGTATGCGAGCTTCTTGTAATTAATGATTTTTACTCTGTATTCTAAAAATTCAACCGATTTAAACAAATCATTATTTAAAATTGGTACTCATCTTAAAGCGGGGGAGTCGTCACCTGCGCATGCGTCAGATGGCCATAGTGTGTCATTGTTTACAAACAAGCGTCTACCCATGAGCTTTTGCGATTTTAGCGTGTGTTGTCATCATTGCTCGGAACTCAATTCCTGTCTGTGCGCAGGTAACGACTCTTTTGCTTTAAAAAACCCACCAATTGTCATGACAACTTCAAGTGGCAAGTGATTATATTCAGAGGGACAGGAAAAGGTATGGGTAGTTGCTAAGTTAGACAAATTTACATTTGATTCTAGGTTGCCTCAGACCTTAAACAGTGTAAGTTCACTCAGACTAAATGGCAAAAAGATTAAAGAGAGTCATCATTGAAATTCTGAAGGAGGGCTATTCAGGATATTAATCAAAAGTCTGGTGTGCATCGCAGACCAATTTCAATGGAAAATGTTTCATATCCAATTTTGATTTTGTGATAGAACAATCTTCAGATCAGAAATATCAACCAGAGTCACTTGATCTGCAAACTCTATCACAAAATAATTTATGGACATTTTTGGTAATTTTTCAACAAAAAGTTTCTGATAACTATTGCATAAGGTATACATAATATATGAAATACAGTTTCAAGGGTGGGGTGGCAGGTGGAGATTGGCTCATCACTCCAAGGTTTATACACACAATAGAACCAGCATTACCTTTGCTAACACAAACGATATTACCAACATTTGAATATGACTTTGAAAAGTAACTAATGTCAGACACTTACAGCCCGTTGTATAGCTATAGCTGCTCTGACTTGCTGAGCAGTTGCTTTCGTCATTCCGTATCTTTTCCTGGCAAGAACTCCTTTCCATATGGCTTGGATTTTTATGGCTGCATGAATTTGTGCCAATTCAAGGTGTTTGTTGACTTCACCTGTAATTATTAAGATCAAAAAACAAATCAGATAAAGAATTTCAAAACGGCTGTCCATCACGCAATGACCTCAAATAAGCTTTGTGTATGCACGGCACATATTACAGTATATGCAAATTATATTGCACAAAGTTGTCTGTATCACTAATTAAGAAGATTTGAATGGTTGAACTTGAGTAAAGCCGTTCTATCAACATGCATACAATACTAAGACAAGCCTGGTCAAAAATTTTAAAAATCAACGTAATTAAGAAAATTAGCTTCAATATGCATCCAGCCTTTACAGACATGTGTGAGAGTGTGATATATGATTGCTATGACAATGACCATATCTTCCATATCATTTTCTAATGTTTATTATTATTTTTTTTTTATACTTTTGAGCCAGTGACTGACACATCACTTTGTAATTTATTTAAAAATTACAAGTGTTTTCCACAGAAATCATTTTCCATATTTAGGACCACTTAACAGGGCATTTTGGCAAGTTGAACTTTTGAGGGTCTATGACAGAGTATGTGACTGTTAACAAAATCCAACACATTCAAATTATCCATTTTATTCAAACATTTTGACCAAAATTATGTCTATTTGATCAAAAAATAACAAAGATATTCAAGAAAAATACAAGTGAAACCAATTTTTTTGGCAGGAAAATTATGACATTCAAAGGCTAATATGCTATCCTAGTGTCAAAACTTTATCTTGTGTTTCACCAGTTGCATCTGTCAGTGAATAAATCTAGATCTGTGGCTTTGACCTTCCTTTAATTACGCTACTGGTGATTGGTCACTTTAAGAATTTATATAATTTTAGATTTAAAAAGATGTTTGACATAATTTGTCACAGTTTATTCCAAATTTTGAAAAGAAAACTAGCAAATAAAAGAGGTCCTTCATAGTACACCCTAAGGCCTCCAAGATGAAATGATACACACACAAAACTGATGGAGTATATCATACCTAGTTTATGGACAGCTATATTTGATCAACAATGTTCAAGTAGAGGTGTATATTTCGATAATACAATTATAGGAATCATTGTCTGCTGCCATCAAATTGTACACCTCTATTTACATGCTAGCCTAACGTAAGTAAAAGGAATGTAGTCGCTCTAATGAGGGTATGGCTGTGTACATACTTGGGTGCATGGCTGCTATCATGTTGAGTTGTTTTTGTCGTGTTTCACGGATCTTCTTCCGATGAGCCACCAGCAATTGATGTTGCAATTCACGTTCTAGTCTTTTATCTTCTAATTGCTTCTGTTTGTTTACTTGATGTACTCTGAAAAAGACAGAATTTTTATCCCAACTTTCTATAATTTTGATGTTAAAAAAAGCTGGAAATTTACATTCCTTACAAGTTTCAGTAAAATTTTTTGAAGATTTAGTTTACAGATCAGAAAGGACCAAGATAGACTTAAACATGACTACTTTTTATAAAATGGTAACAGAACTAGACAATGGCAGTGAAATTTCAATGGTTGGCATACCTCCTTTCCATAACACATACATATCATTATGATGAATGAATAACAAGAAAACTGTCATTAGTCGTTAACAAAATATCCATTGTCAAGGTGATATAAAACCAGACAAAGAAGAGCCATCATGATATCTATGAAAACAAAATCTCATGAATTATTGTCTGAAGTGCGATTTTTAGTGAAAATTACTACACATTGCTATGGACACTGCAAGCCCTTCTTTTCATCCACCCTTTGAGATCACTGTAGAATACCGGGCTCACCTAAAACTTCTCTGAAATGTCTTTATGCCTCTATCAGCTTTCTTTAGTTTTTTTCTAGTGATAAATCCTTTGTAGATGGCTTGGATGGTGGTAGCTGCTCGATGCAATCTCTATAAAATATACAAATATTACTCTGTTATAACCAGTAGTTGAAAACAGGTTAAAAACAATTGAGTATTTTGTCACGGTCATATTCTACTACTAATCATAATTATTCATCTTAATTTTTATTTATTTTTTTACCTGCATTTCAGCCTCTGCAGCAGATCCAGCGTCCAGTAACATTAGCAATTTTTGTAGATCTCTACCAAAACCTTTTCCGGTCCATTTACTCAGCAATGGACGCAAGCCTCTGAAAAATAATTTGATTGTCATATTTACAATTAACATCATGTGACCGAGTTGTACCTGGTATAGAGTACTACCATCAGCTGATGTATAACAGTCATAAAAGCCCATCATACAGTAGCAGTGAGGGACTTCCGCGATTGCGTCTATTGTTACTAACCGGTATTCGATCAGCTGGCGCCCAATTAACTGACAAATACGACAAAGACAAATACGGTACTTATATCTGGTGTATAGTGATTCTATTATTGATTGGTGTATATCAGTCATGTGACCTATCATGTGACTTACTTATATCTGGTGTACAGTAATTCTATCAGTGGCTGGTGTATATCAGTCATGTGACTTACTTATATCTGGTATACAGTAATTCTATCAGTGGCTGGTGTATATCAGTCATGC